TTTTCGCTGCTCTCATCTGCGCCGCCTCGAGCCTTTTCACTACCTTCTTATTTCCTTCCCATACATCTCCGGCGTACTCTAGCGGCGGTACGATTATGCTCTTCAAAACCGTCAATTTGATGCGTGTATCGAGGTGCCGGTTTGCGAGTGTATTGGGTGCAGCTTCCCTGCTTGTGCTTTGCCCTTTTCCGCTACCTTGGACATGTGTGCATTCCACGAGCAGTCTTTTGCGATCTCTACTCCGAGGTATGTGTACTGGTCCACTACTGCACTCTCCTCGATCCCCCACTTCCGTCTATCTTGAACTGGTTCCTCCTTGTTCTCGTTGCATATCATGACGGCACTCTTCTTGACGTTGGCAGACAATCTCCACTTATCAGAAAACTCCTTCGCCGCGTCAATTTGCAGTTGCAGTCCCTCAGGGGTGTCCGACATACCGACAAAATCATCCGCAAACAGCATTCCTGAAACCGACGTTTCCGTGTCCCCTACTTTTACTCCCTTCCGGACTGCCTCTACGACTTCCAACAGATCGTTGATGAACACCTGGAACAATGTTGGGGACAGCGTGCAACCTTGTGGGACCCCCTGCTCAATGTCGAAGAATTTCGACAGTTCTCCGTCTAACCTGACCGCGCTTTTCGTACACTCTGTCACAGGGGGTGCGGAAAAAAATCGGGTTCCAAGGGTTATCGCACAGGTTTCGTTCACTTCGCACAGGGGTGTGCGGAGACCCCGATACCTTCGGCGAGGTTGGGTGATACCATGTTATCGAGCCTTTGTCGCGGGCCACTACTGTACCAATGTAGCTTGTATCAGGGGCTCCACTGGCATCGTGACGTTGCTCATGGGCAAGTGATGTTGTTCAACATCGTCATTATTGTCGGTATCGACGGTTTCTACCCAATCAACCAAGAACCAAGTACGGTATTACCAATTACACTGTACGGTACTACGAAAAACACAGACTCCGCGCTTGCATCCTCTGACATCGTAGCCAACGTGTTGCTTGTGTGTGGTGTGTGTGAGCACAGACCTCTGTGTATGGGAATTCCAAGGTAATTTGCCGCCTTCTTGGCTCGGACTTGTTTCGCCGCATGTGTTTTGTGTGTTTTGGGGTTCTTGTGTGCTGGTGTACTCCGTGTGCTGTTGTGTGCGTCTGTGTTTGTTATGTTGTGGTCCTGATGCTGCAATAACTGCACACGCACACGAAGTGCTGGTCTGGTGTATGTCTGCTGTGATTTGTTCAGGATTGCACACATCGGGGTGTTGGCCCGGGAGCGCGCGTTCAAAACACCCCACCTACTCGCCGCTTTGTACTAATTTAGAATCGCACGGATCGGAGTCATCGCACAGGGGTGTACGTTATATTTTCAGGACCAAACATTTTATTCATGTCCCGCACAGGTATCGGGTACATGGCACGTATCGGCGCCTTGGCACCCCTGTGCGATAGAAACACCGAAAATTAAAACATTTACAAGAACGATTACACAGCCAGTGTGTCGAGACCGGCATCCTTGCGGGACTCCACGACACAGGTGCTCATCCGGAGTATTGGTGTTCTCCTTTTCGCGCCCCTTTCCCTTCAATATCTCCTGGCAAATAAAGGGTCCATCTTGCCTGTATCAAGTCTGACTATATTATCAATTTTGTAGGACATCAATCTATCTTGATCTTTTCAAGTTTCGGCGTGCGCAAACTGAACAATCCCCCGATCTTGCGAGCGGCAGATACCCGTTTGGGACAGCCCTTCCCGTGCAGCCGTTCTCCCTGGTGGAGACGGTGACTGGCGTGGATGTCGTGTTCAGAAAGTGAGTACAGCGAGGTTGGGCATGGTTTTACCACCCCTGGTGTCAGGAGGGGATGTGGCCACTATTAAGGGCAGGTGGCCATTGCCGGTGTAACGGCTATTTGTCGGGCCGCAGTGATGCCAGGTGGTTTTGTGGTCTCTATGCAGGGCACGTCGCTATGAGGCTCAACTTCAACTGTACCGGATCCACCACTTCTGTAGAGGTAGGTGAACGTGAAGCATAAATTTAGCAAGTATTTCCGGTTTCACTATTGATGCATTGTTTCCCCGCGGCGTCGTATTTGCCGGGTTTCGGGACCACGGGCTCCCCATTTTTGTGGACTAGAGCTAAAGTGAGAAACATACCTGGCGCGTGACTTGATTCGGGTTTACGTTTTCAGCAGCGATGCCTGCTGGTACGGCGACCGCTGCAGTGCATCAACCCTGGTCCTCCCTCTCGCACCTGGATACCGAACGCGCGAAGGAGACTTGTTGTTTTGCCTTGGCGCGAACCGTTCCGGGACGTCTGCAGCATTTGCCGCAGCACTCTATGGATTCAGGCGGAAAAAATGTCTTGGTGTTCCCGGGGACAATAGATCTCGTCTGTATTGTTGTACTGTGAGAAGGCTTTGTAGCGCTAGCTACCTGAACCCCAAAAACACTTGTGGCACGTATAACAAGACAGAAACACTCATGTCCGCAGGAGATGAAGCATGCTGCCGAAGATGTCCAGAGGGAGTCATGTGGTCTCTAATTCCAAATGCTTTTGCAATGCCTTCTATGCTTGATAGCTATCCCCCTACTATCTAGTCCTGATGAAAGTGGAAGACTACAACAAACACATCACTAGGTACCGTTTGATATCTTCGCCTTCGTCTGAAGCGACGGCTCCCGAAACACAACATACCGCTAGATATGTACACCACCCTACCTTGTTTGCTGACTGCGGTCGCATGTCTGTATTCCAGAAAGCCGACTCTCGAAAGAGGCTCGCGAGATGGGGGGCTTTGCTTCACGATTGAGGACAAGGTCTCCGGGGAAGGGATCGACGTGCCCACGGGCCCGACGCTTATCATGCGGCGCATCTCCAAAGGGCAAGAAATTCGGAAGGTGGCCGTTGTGTGCCAAGATATGGCCTGTCTGGATGCTTGTCAGGATGCAATCCTAGTATGCATACCCGTGTTTCAAGGGGGGGGTCTAACACGTACCAGGTAGCATTTCCCCGGTAAATATGATAGTCCGCACATCAAAGTTTGAGTGCCCCGGACGTCGCGGGTTTGTGAAACCCACCAATGGTTGGTCCATATTCGTGTGGCACTCTTAGACGGCGAATTCCGCAATCCAGTAGGTTTTTACCTCTGATTTCACTGTATTCGTTGCTCGCCAAGTTGGTGCCAATCAACTGTGGTGTCAACCTTTTGAGCGTTTTACGTAGAAAATCAAATACCTAAGCTTGTGCTATGTCAGCAACGCGAGGCTGTTTCGCCCTCCGCTTCGTGATCTACCGACTGCAGATGTTCGCGGAACGCATCGTGGTGAAGGCGGTTGTCAAGTCCTTGGCGGGGGACGGCGCGCCACTTGGGACCAAAGTCCGAACAGTCCTGCACGAGGGTTTAGTTTAACGCAACACCAGAGGACCCACGGCGGCTATTGGAACCGCTTGTTTGGCGTCAGACCCTCGTTCTTATAATGCCTTTTGTGGGGCAAGCCAGCACCGACGATCGGATCATTCCGGGTTTAGGCCAGAGTTTTCCAACGGGTGTACTCACGCGAGACTGGGGTCTATTCGAAAACGAAATTGCTGTGTGGTTCCTTTGTGGTAGCAGGAAGAAACCCGTAAACAAGACATTCGCCAGATCCATCCAGAGGTTCTGCAAAGGAAATGCTAAGCATTCCGTCCGCGTCGGGTCACGTGCACCACTCCCGGCGATCGAAGGAACAGCAGTTAGGGTTCAGGTTGCAGTGAAATCACCGGAGCATTGGTTGGCAAATTACACGAACTTTGTGTGGATGAATCCCAAAACCACCGCCTTTCCTTCGTGGCACCACCAACAACGACCTCCGATCCGATGCGGAGGCTACGGAGGCTACGGAGCGCGTCTCGCTGTTGGACAGAGAGAAGAAGGCTGCCGAGGCCACCTCACTCTCTCTGCGTTGCAAGGCAGGCTAGGCCCGACCAGGGTCGATTATTCGGAAGAAGAGTGTCAAAGAAAATGAGAAAAAAACGCGCAGTCTTTCTTCTACCATATTGCTTACAGTCTGGCCTCTTATTCGACACCCACAAACGAACTGGGACTCTTGCACGAAGTTCTACTTCACGGTCGACGAGGGAACGAATACGTTTACTTCTTCTCGCGAGAAGGAAGGTCATGTGTGACCCCGGCTGGTGTGGCCAGAATTGCACCCCAAGCGGTCTAAGGACTGCAGTCCAGAAATCCAGAAACAAACGTATGGGATATGATAGAAACTAATGAACCGAACGGCATTTCTACTGCACAATACTCCACCAAATATTGAATTAATTATCTGCTGTTGTGACTGACATCCACGTTTATTTTTCATGCGTGGGTTTTCCATGTTGTCCTATTACTCATACGTATAGCTTGTAGACTAGTATTTTTTTCATGTACATAGGGGTCCCTGTGTGCGGGCCGCCTTCTTCGTCACCACGACCCGGCACCCTGTGACCAATGCCTAGTGGGCTACACTTAAACCTTTCTTTGACTCTTCCTCTCGTTCACTGTATTTCTCATTTGCTTTTATTTTCATTTCCGATGATGACCACCTCTCGTTTCTTCTGTGAAGAACCACGATTGAACCAGGGATGAAACCTACTATTCTGGCCCGTAATGTTCACTTCTTCTCCAGTTGATGTCGTTTACCTCGAATAGCGTGTACAGATAGCGCCCGCACTTAGGAACTTAGCAGTTTAGAAATTGAGACTCCCAAAAAATCAGAAGCTAAGAATTGAGCACCATTTGTGAGCCTGGTCAAGGACCCCTTGACTAAAACCTATATAGCGGCCATTTGTAGCCCACAAGATATGATCAGAAAAATAACGTACGGCTCTCCATACTTTACTAAACATACTGCTGTTGCTTTTAGTACAGGTCAACATACTACTGTAGTACTGACGGTACTGTTGCGTTTAGTAGGGCTTCCCATACTGTACTAAAAATAGTTTTAGTACGGCTGCCCATACTAACGCGATAGTACAGCCCCCCATACTCTACTCAAAGTGCGCTTTAGTATACTATCAGTCAAGTACCTGTTCTCATGATTTCTACCAAAGGGCGTGTTGGTGACGTCACTATTCGGCAGAAAATTGTACAGTCTCGCCATACAGTCTCGCTCCTGCGAGTGATCGTGGGCTCGTACTGGCGTGCTCGAGGACTGAGGGTATTGGTGTCGTGGCCCGCAGGGGAGATGGTGGCAGCATGAGTAACGCGAGTGGTGGTTCGACCGCATCTCCCGGTGCGGGTGGTTCTCCCGGTACGGGTAGTCCCGCAACGGGTTCGTCACCACAAGACCAGGTGGTGGTCGTGGCGGGCTCTACGAGTCGAGGAGCTCCTCAGCAGTCGGTAAACCTCAAGCGTCCCGAGCCGATCTTCTACTCGTATTACGAGCGAGTAGAAGATCGGCTCGGGACGCTTGAGGTTTACCGACTGCTGTGGAGCTCCTCCACTCGTAGAGCCCGCCACGACCACCACCTGGTGGGGCTCTGATTTGATTTTTAGTTTTGAACACTCAATCGAGTGGGTGGATTGAGGATTCGTGCTCTACAGCGTTGGCGGTCTACAGCTATTGTTTTATATATATATATATATATTTTGCCTTCCGACAATTGCAGATGTACCTCAGAAAACTTTCACTTACTTAATGTCTCATTCATACTCTACATAAATATTAAACCAATACGAAGTTGTTGTTGTTGTTGTTGTTGACTTCACATTAAACCGTATGCCAGTTGCTAAATGCCAAAATCTAGCAAAGACTCTCAGCCCGTGGTCACGAAAGTGCTAGAGCCATCTGAGGATCTAAAGAACACGCACACGTAGCAAGAAAAAGGTATGCAAGAGCCCGAAGAGGTACTACCACACCTATATATAATCCCTGCAGCACCGTACGCGTGCCCAAAACTGAACTACACGTCCGTCTCACCGTTCGACTACAGCAACATCACCCCCTACCTGTCCCACTCTGTACCAAAACGAATGATTGCCGACTACAGCATACTTGCTGTCTGAAGTGCTGTCTGTACAAAAACACCATGGTAGGCATGGAACAAGAAGCTGGCGGGGCACAAAGCTGCTGTCTGAAGTGCTGTCAGAATGTGTCTGCGGACGTACAGTGAAAAA